GTCATTGGGGATTGTTTACTAAAAACAAAAAGGCTGTTCACTATGCAAGAAAATTTTCCCCTTGCTTATTGAATGAGGTGAAGTTGTGCTGTCTTCCACCATCCAATTATGTACAAGAAAAAAATACGTTTTTATTCTTATTTTCCTTGCACACGATTGGGCGTTTTTTTTGCCAAGTGGATTTTCACCATGTTAACTTAGATAAGTGAAAATTTCCCCACGAAGTGAAGAGCCTTTTTGCCTATAGTAAATCGACCCCTTTGTGTCAGTTACACAGGAGATCATCCTGTGCTTGTATAAACTCTTTTATGGGTTGGTTGTGTCTTAAAGCTCATATATAGCTTTAAGACACATTTATTATTAATAAAAAATTATAAGTTATTGCTAATATCCCCTAATGATATCTGATATATTTTGAAACTTGCTATCCCTTGCTGAATCATACACCACTTAATTTTAAAAAAAAAACTGCTATTGCATACGGTTAGAACATAGATTGCATTTTTACTCATTCTGTCTAAAATAAGAAGCTATGGTTTGAGTTTCATTTTAAAGTTGAACTCCAGGCAGATATATAAGGCATGAATAAAGGCAGCTCTGTAATCAGTAAAGGAGAATTATGGGATGAGTGCAATACACTCATCCCAATATTGTGTGACGTGTGCTTCAGGCCGCGTGTAGAGCCCCGAACAGGGAAATCAATTGATAGCCGACGAATCGACGATCGAAAACGTTGGTAACGTTTTCAATCGTCGATTTTAATCAACTAAATTGATTAACTGTTGCAGCTCTAGTCGGCTCTATTGATTGAGAACTGAGCGATCACAAACTGTTGATTGCTCAGTTCCCGATCATCTCCTTGCACAGAGGGGTGACTGTCAATCACCGCTCCCTGCAGGGATTCCCTCCTCTCCTCTCTGTTCCTCCAGCGCTGACTGGACGGACAGACGGGGAGGGGGCGGGGACAGCTGGCTCTGCCACTAGAGAGGCAGAGCCAGTTGTCAGTCAGGTAGCAGGGTGGATTCCGACAATATTGTTAGGATCCGTTACGGCTGCAGCGTGGCTTTGCGTTGTCTGCATATAGCGGGCAATAGCTCGCTATTTTCTGAGTTTTGGGTCACAGGAGTACACTAGCAAATGTCCTCTTGTGACCCTAAAAAGAACTATGGCCAAAAAAGCTTTGGCCTTAGTTCTCTTTTAATCATCATTACATGTATTTTTTTAATACAAGCGGTGTATGTACCCGAATTTGACTTTATACCAGACTCTTGCAGCATACTATACAGCAGAGCTCAGAGATAGTGAAGAAGAAACATCACAAATAGCCAATCGGCTGTGCTGCAGTGCAATAAGCATGCTGGCAGGAGGAGAGAGCAGAGTCAGATGACAGTAAGATGTGCAGACCTGTAACTAAACGTAAAATTGCAGCACAGAAAAATCAGCTTTCCTTGCTTGCTAGACAGGGCTGTGCTTAGGGGGCAAAGCTGTGTAAATCTTAGGACCAGAGATTTTGGGATAACACAGCTGCCCTATATGTATTTCATCTATGTATTTAGCTGTTTGTCTGGAGTTCAGCTTTACATAAAAAAAGAAACTTACAAGTTTGATTTATCTTCTTTCTTAGAAGTGTTTTACAGTTCCAGGATTAAATGGCAATTAAATATAAAGTATACAATTTGATGCTTTATATTTGGGTTACTGAGCTCAACCCCAAACTACCCAAATAACCATTTACTGTATTTTTCCGTGTATAAGACTATACTTTTTCTTAAAAATATTTACCTAAAAATGGAGGAGCGTCTTATACACGGGGGGCCAAGAGGAGAACCGTGGTTGCGAAACTGCCGATACCTCTGCAAACTAGCCTCACGAGTGAAACTTCCGATTGCAGAGACAAGCTAACAGGTTTCCTCCAATCATGAGCCTTATGTACCTGACGTCAGCTGATGATGCGGAGAGCGTGTAGCCAGTGCCCAGATGCAACAGGGAGCCCATAAAAATGTCAGAAAACAAAAAAAATACCGGTACCAGTAAGCAGCTGTTTTACTCTGCAAAATTTAAACTGGATGTAATCAGTTATGCAAAAGAGCATGGAAAATATTGATTTCTGAATTTTGGGTAAGAAAAGTGGGGGGCGTCCTATACATAGGGGCGTCTTATAGACGGAAAAATACGGTACTTGCCAACAGCTACATATTAAAATGCAATAAGAGGAATTGAATTGGGGATGTATGATGCTCATAGACAGCCTCTTAGTGTTGTCCATATTATTCATTAAGCAGGTGGACCTAACACTGGAACATGGCTTCCTTCTAGCAGGATATTCCTCTGGCACCATGGCAGCCTCAGCATTCTGGTTCCATGTCACTTCTTTCTGGCAGGATTCTCTTCTGGTAATATGCACCCTATATGCTTAGTTGACAACTATTCTCATTATCGATTAGTTGGTTGCAGCCCTAGACTGAGCAGACAGACTGAAGGAGGGCAAGGACTCAGCAGACAAACCAAAGGAGTGCAAGGACACAGTAGACAGACTGAAGTGGTGCAAGGCCTGAGCAGACAGACTGAAGGAGTGCAAGGACAGAGCAGACATACTGATTGAGTGCAAGGACTGAGCAGAGAGACTGAAGATGTGCAAGGACTGAGCAGATAGATTGAAGATGTGCAAGGACTGAGCAGATAGACTGAATGAGTGCAAGGACTGAGCAGACAGACTGATGATGTGCAAGGACTGAGAAGACAGACTGAAGAGGTGTAAGGACTGAGCAGACAGACTGAAGAGGTACAAGGATAGAGAAGACAGACTGAATGAGTGCAAGGACTGAGCAGGCAGACTAAATGAGTGCAGGGAGTGAGCAGAGAGACTGAATGAGTGCAAGGACTGAGCAGAGAGACTGAATGAGTGCAGGGAGTGAGCAGAGAGACTGAATGAGTGCAGGGACTGAGCAGACAGACAGAATGAATGCAAGGATTGAGCAGGCAGACTGAATGAGTGCAAGGACAGAGCAGACAGACTGAAGAGGTACAAGGACTGAGCAGAGAGACTGAATGAGTGCAAGGACTGAGCAGAGAGACTGAAGATGTGCAAGGACTGAGCAGAGAGAGTGAATGAGTGCAAGGACTGAGCAGAGAGACTGAAGATGTGCAAGGACAGAGCAGACAGACTGAATGAGTGCAAGGACTGAGCAGACAGACTGAATGAGTGCAAGGACAGAGCAGACAGACTGAATTAGTGCAAGGACTGAGCAGACAGACTGAATGAGTGCAAGAAAAGAGCAGACAGGCTGAATGAGTGCAAGGACAGAACAGACAGGCTGAAGAGGTACAAGGACAGAGAAGACAGACTGAAGGAGTGCAAGGACTGAGCAGACAGACTGAATGAGTGCAAGGACAGAGCAGACAGACTGAATGAGTGCAAGGACAGAGCAGACAGACTGAATGAGTGCAAGGACAGAGCAGACAGACTGAATGAGTGCAAGGACAGAGCAGACAGACTGAATGAGTGCAAGGACAGAGCAGACAGACTGAATGAGTGCAAGGACAGAGCAGACAGACTGAATGAGTGCAAGGACAGAGCAGACAGACTGAATGAGTGCAAGGACAGAGCAGACAGACTGAATGAGTGCAAGGACAGAGCAGACAGACTGAATGAGTGCAAGGACAGAGCAGACAGACTGAATGAGTGCAAGGACAGAGCAGACAGACTGAATGAGTGCAAGGACAGAGCAGACAGACTGAATGAGTGCAAGGACAGAGCAGACAGACTGAATGAGTGCAAGGAGAGAGCAGAGAGACTGAATGAGTGCAAGGACTGAGCAGAGAGACTGAATGAGTGCAAGGACTGAGCAGACACACTAAGGAGGTACAAGGACTGAGCAGAGTGACTGAAGATGTGCAAGGACAGAACAGACAGACTGCAGAGGTACAAGGACAGAGCAGACAGACTGAAAATGTGCAAGGACTGAGCAGACAGACTGAAGAGGTGCAAGAACAGAACAGAGAGACTGAAGAGGTACAAGGACAGAGCAGACAGACTGAAGAGGTGCAAGAACAGAACAGAGAGACTGAAGAGGTACAAGGACAGAGCAGACAGACTGAAGAGGTACAAGGACAGAGCAGACAGACTTAAGAGGTACAAGGACAGAGCAGACAGACTGAAGAGGTACAAGGACAGAGCAGACAGACTTAAGAGGTACAAGGACAGAGCAGACAGACTGAAGAGGTACAAGGACAGAGCAGACAGACTGAAGAGGTGCAAGAACTGAGCAGAGAGACTGAAGAGGTACAAGGACAGAGCAGACAGACTGAAGAGGTGCAAGAACTGAGCAGAGAGACTGAAGAGGTAGAAGGACAGAGCAGACAGACTGAAGAGGTACAAGGACTGAGCAGACAGACTGAAGAGGTACAAGGACAGAGCAGACAGACTGATGAGGTACAAGGACAGAGCAGACAGACTGAAGAGGTAAAAGGACTAAGCAGACAGACTGAAGAGGTAAAAGGACTGAGCAGACAGACTGAAGAGGTACAAGGACAGAGCAGACAGAATGAATGAGTGCAAGGACTGAGAAGACAGACTGAGAAGGCGCAAGGACCATTCCATGTGAAGTCAGAATCCCTCTCCATCACCTCCATGCATTGGAATGTGTAACCCTGACACGGTGACCCTGCATGTGTGCACTACCCCGGCCAGCCCCCCGGCTCTGTGGATGGGACAGTGACGTCAGGGGGCGCGGGGTGGCAGCACCTCCTTGCGCTCTAGTTAAAAAGAAGCGAAACATGAGAGCCGAGCGGAGCTTCGAGAGCAGCACAAGCAGTGATCCCAGCCAGCGGCATCCACAGGCAGCTGAGGAGGACACAGAGCATTCCAGCGCCGTGCCAAAGTCCTGTGATTCCCATCATCCTAGCAGAGAGCTCACCTGAGCCCCTCCACACATCAGTATCCGCCCACCCTCCTCATCCAGGACATCCTTCCTACACCTTCTCCAAGGCTTTAGCAGCGCTGGGACCGCGGCTGCTGAGTCAATACTTCTTGCTGGTGGACTAGCCTGAAGAAGATGCTGATGTTCCAGTGGATGCTGATTTGGGGGGCCGCCCTGCTGCTGGTCCTCGAATGTGAAGCCAAGTATGGAGAGAAAAGTGACTCTACAGCTAGGAGGAGAAGGTGTTTAAATGGGACCCCCCCTAAACGAGTCAAGAAGAGGCATAGGAAGCTGCAAAGCCTGGATCTGGGGGGAGCTGGAGATGGATGTAGAGGGCTGTACCCCCGGCTCTCCTGCTGCTCCAAACCTGAAAGCACAGGCTTATTCTTAGATCCTAAGGTAGGTTCCTCCGTGTCCCTGGTTTTCTAGGATGAGGATGATGACTCCATGCTACCTACAACTTATGGAAATCAAGCACGTGTTTCCAACAAGGGCCATTGAGCTCTCTGTGCAGGTGTTTGCAGAGCCCAAGTCACATTGCTTGCTGAACTCACATCCTGATTCACTCTATTTCCCCCATCTGAAGGCAATCTGTAATTATAATATGTACTAGCAGAATGCAGAACGACCATCATTCAACCATGTAGCTGTAGCTACTCCTATGGCTAGTGCACCTCTTCCCCTAATGCCTTTAGGCTATATACAAATTATTTTGAGTCAGGTTTTGTGCCATCTGTGTCCCATCGGGGAGATTTCCTTTCATTTCCTGTCCCAGAGGCAGAAAAGAAAGAAGGAAATCTGTCCAAAGTAAGGGAAATCATTTCTTAGACAGTTGTCACCAGAACATGTGTCCCCATGCTGTTCTGGTGGCATCAAAGGTTTCTGGATTCTTTCACTCTTTCAACTTTGCTGACAACGGTCGCCAGAACTAACAGAGTTAAAGTGACACTAAACTCAGGAGTTAAATCTTAAAAATGCATTCAAGTAGCTTAACTATTAAACCAATGGGGAGGATTTATCAAAACTGAAGCAGACAAAATCTGGAGTAGTTGCCTATGGCAACCAATCAGCTTCTCTCTTCAGTTTGTGCAGTTAAGCTTTGAAAAGGAAAGGTGGATGATGATTGGTTGCCATGCATAGCTGCTCCAGTTTTGATAAATTTCCCTCAATGTATCTTATATGTGCATCACTCAGCTGTAGATCCTCAAATTATCTCAGAATTGGTGCTGTCACTGTCCTTCCTTTTGGAGGGTGGCTAATTTTGTTCCCCATGGTCCCTGTGTGTGTTGTAAAGTAGCCACCACTCCAAGCTCACTCCTCCTGTGATGGACTACAATCGCACATTGTAGACCATCACGGGAGGAGCAAGCTTGGAGAGGTGGCTACTTTACAACACACATGGGGACCATGGAGAACAAAAGTAGCCATGTATTGTTAAGATTCAAGCTCCTGATTTTGGTGTCACTTTAATGGGGACACAGGCGGCGATAAAAACCCGAAAAGGGGTTCTAGCCCTTCTTAAAACCATTTATTTATTATACCTTTTTATATAGAGGGCTGTTGATTTGCACAGCACTTTACATACTATTTATTCATCAGTCCTTGCCCTCAAAAAACTTACAATCCAAATTCCATATTACACATACTATGGCCAGTCCACACAGGAGCCAATTAACTTTCAAGCATGTATTTAGAGTGTGTGAGGAAACCCATGCAAGTACAGGGAAAATATGCAAACTCCATGCAGATTGTGCCCTGGCTGAAACTGGATTTGAGCCTTAGTTTTGCAAGGTAGGAATGCTAACCACCAAACCACTGTGCTGCCCAAACCTAAGAAAAAAGTTTTGGCTTTAGATACACTTTAACAAAGTAGTGCAAAGGGCAGTAGGCATAGCAATCAATCAGATTTTATCTTTCATTAGTTAACATGGGCAGAATAATGCATGATTATCACTCATAGCAATGGGTGACTCTCCAAAATTCACTTATGAAGTGTTTTATCTTCATTTTTAAGTTAGATAAGTTAGCCTAAGCATTAAACACTAAACATTACACTATGACCCTGTCTTTTCAAAGCATAGCAGGGTAGATAGTCTGCAGCAACCATAAGGCCAAAGGTTGCTTCCCTTTAAAACGGACCATGGTGCCTGCTCTGTGGGTCTCAGAAGTCCAGATCTCTGTGCTAACAGCTCTTGACACTAAGAGGCTCCAGAACATCACATGTGAGGGGAAACAGGCAAGCGCTGCGGGAATTTGATTACCATCCAATGCCTCATACTAGCGTGCTTCAAAAGTGCTTTCAAACTCAAAGAGTCCATTGATGTTAAGATAACTTTTCAAGAATGCCTGTGTACCGTTTATTTTCATATTGCTATTTTATAGACATGATGTGAGCTTTAAAAACATTTGTTACTGAACTCCCATATTACCTTATTGTAAGTGAAGGTATCCAGGTTTTGTAATTCAACTGTTCTATTATGTAAACAAAGCTGATGTGATTTTAGCTTTAACTTTTAATGGGACTGTTAGTTTTTGATGCTGAACTGTAAAACTTTCGTGCCTCCAAGTCAAAACATTATAGTTTTGTTTTGATGAAATGTATATATCCTATAGTGGGTTTTTGGGGTCTCCAGATTATTTAGTAAGACATATATTCTTTATGCTGCATAGGAACCATATTCCATGGAAGTTATAGTACACTGTCCAAATTATGACTGCATACAAAGAATGTGTGACACTGACACTTGATGGCCCCTGTCTACAAGGGACTGGCTACATTTGGTCTTGGCTTTCACTATCTTGCATACTATTCTTCTAGGTAATCCACGGAGCAATGATGATATACATTGTGATATAAATTACAACCACCATTAAATCAGTTTTTGATGGTCTGGCTACACTCAGCTGCTCAGTGTGATATCTGATATCAAATCTAATTGGTTTCTTATCATAGTTCATTGATTTGTGTTATTAGCTACAGCTCTAGACCTATGTCTTCTGAGTGCTTACTCCTTGTACCTGACCTGTGGGATAAACATTTGAATTTGACTCTGTCTGTCCTAAGAAAGTGTTAAAGACTTAGAAGCATTGTATGGGCAGCACAGTGGGTTAGTGGTTAGGTCTTCTGCCTTGCAGCACTGAGGGTTCAGGACACTATCTGCATGAAGTCTTTATGTTCTCCCTGTGCTTGCATGGGTTTCCTCCGGGTACTCCGGTATCCTCACACACTCAAAACTTTTTTCTTAGGTTTGGTGGTTAGCATTCCTACCTTGCAGCACTAAGGCTCAAATATAGGTTCGGCCAGTTCAGCACTTGCATGAGTTTCCTCGCGCACGCTCCAAAAAGACATGCTGGAAGGTTAATTGGCTCCTTCCTAAACTGGCCCTTGTAAGCTCCTTGAGGGCAGGGATCGTGCGGTATGCAAAGTGCTGCCTTAATTGTCAGCACTATAAAATTACCTGTAATAAATAAATAAATAAGTTGATGACCGTGACAAGAACAAAGGTGCAATTGTCACCTTTACAATGGAATATTTCATCAGGCACTGTCTGAGCTGTTCATTTTATAGCACTTTAAATACTGTTTGTGGGCAGGTTATGATGTAGAGCCGTAAAGTTTGCAGGCATACCCACACGTAGCGTCTTGTGCGATGAAACACCTGGGAGTCTTCTCGGCCCCCTACCTCCTGCCCGCCCTCCTTCCTTGCCAGGATGATGTCAAATGCTAAGCACAGGAAGCAAGGCTCCAAGGGGTTAATAGTGAGTCGGAATGTGTAAGTTTGTATACATATGTCTATAATGTTTGTGTTACCATCTGTGTACCTTTTAATGGTGTTTATGAAAGAAGAGATGCATGTGTGTGTGTGTGTTTATTTACGGTAAGTGTACAGTACATATGCTGTTGTTAAATATATACCGTATATATACACAGTTTGTCCCAGTGTTAATAAATAAAGACATGCATATGTATATAGGTAAGCACATTTCAGTTTATCTAGAAAGTGAGTCTTGTACTGTATGTGATATAAGCTGTTTATCTGGGATACGTCATAGGCATGTGTTTTTATATCAGTGTGTATATATTTGCCTAGCTGGCCATAAATAGGAATGGGAGAAATAATGACGTGTTTATAAGCAGTGGGACTTTAGAAAGCGTGCTACAACAGTTCCATTTACAAACAAGGTTATGCTGCATCTGCTTGTCGCCCCCCCCTGTGTTTTCTTGTTTATATAAGATGCATTGGCATACTACATATATACATGTACTGTTATTAGGTATACAGCCATGCTCTGTGTTGCATGTTTGTGTGTGATGTATAGGATTACTCTGCGTTTTGCTGTTGCTTTGGTGATTACAAATGTTTAGCCCGTCAGATACATCTTGTCTATACCATGGACAGAGACATCCTTGCAAACAAGCCTCACGTTACAGACCACACAGAAAAGGTCTCAACTTAAGCCAGGTTTTTTAAAGCAGAAAGAAGATGCTTGCAAAGATGTTTATCTTGACACCTCCATAAGCTTCCTTCAACGTCTGCAGACTTTGCAACATTTTGGCTTACATTGCCCAGTGAAAAGCTTTTTTAGCTATTATACTTGTGTGTTAGGTACCAAAAGGTGACATTTTGACAAGTATTCATCTGGCTGCTTGTTTTAGGAATCAATGACGGAATACTGTATATTTAATAAAGCAGACGGTACAGGTCTTAGTAAAATAGGCTCTAAAATGAATATCTGGTAATCTATTAATGTGTGTTAATGAGAAACCATATTGCTCCTAACCCACCGGTCATATTTAAACTTGGAATCAGATATGACATTTGCAGAGTAAAAAGTTTGAATCTGGATGAGCGGAGGTTGTGAGTTCTTATTTAGTGAAGCTGATAAAATTGGACCAGTCAGACGATTTTAAAGAAGAACTCCCAGCAGAAGAAAACTTAAAGGAGAACTATGGGGTCAGGGCTTTTCCTAATAGTTCTCCTAAGGGTCACGGGAGAACACAAACTAGCGTTCTTCTGTGACTCAAAGCTCAGTATACCGCGAGCTACAGCTCGCCTTGCTGGCACTTCCTGTCCCACGGTGTCTGCATGCGGGTGCACGCGTCCATAGACTTACCTTGCGTCTCTCCTCGTCTCCCGGCCGAAAATCCGAACTACGCATGTGCCCGCCCCAAGATGCTTTGTGGCCACCCGAGCATTTTTGGATTTTCGGACGGGAGCGCGCGGCGAAGACAGGGGTAAGTTTAAACCGCTTTTAAAGCGGGTTTTTATTTTTTAACTTTTTGCATTTATCTACTGCTTGATAGCAGTAGATATATGAAAAAAAACAAAAAACGGAGGGTTTAGAAACCCTTTAAGAGATCCTGTCACCAGATCATTTCAACAGAAATCTTCCAATAAG